TTGAATACTTATTAAATTGATTGGGACAATTATGTATTTTAATTTTTACTCGATTATTTGTTGTTTCTGAACCTGTTTTTGTATATTTCTTGTCCATTTCTATTATTTTAAAAAGCTTTAAATGACTTTTTGGTATTCTTTATCCATTTCTTGAATACATGTTTGTAGAATATTTTTTCCCTAACAAAAAACAAAACAAAAAACTATCAACCTTTTTTTAGATGTGTTGCAAATACTTTCTTATTATATTACTTGTCCTTCAAGTTTCTTAATGCGTATATTACTGTATAGTCTTAAATGTTTAATACTGTCATATTGTTAATATTTTACTTTATAGTTTCTTGGTTTGAATATTTTACTTCAGAGTAAGAAAAATATTATTTTGTGTTTTCTCCTAAAAATCCTCAGATTTTACATACTGATTTTTAACTCACCTGAATATTTTTTTGTATAATGTGTGAAAAAGGGCTCTATATTTGTTTTATTTCAGGTAATAGTGATCCATTCACCTTATTTGTTAAATAAGCCTTATTTTCACCATTGATTTGAAATATCAATTTAATCATATATTACATTGTTAGATATATATGTTTGTTTCTGGAATGCTCATTTTATTTCATTGATCTACTTGACTTTTTCTGTGCTGGTGTCATATTGTTTTAATTGCTGAGACTTTATAATGGATTTAAATTTTTTAATATAATGGATTTTGATATGTAAAAAATAAATAAATAAAATCAATCTGCATTAAAAAAAAAGAAAGGAACTCCTACCTTTTGCGACAACGTAGATGGAACTGGAGAATATTATGCTAAGTGAAATAAGTCAGTCGGTGAAAGACAAATACCACATGATCTCACCTATAAGTGGAATCTATTCAACAAAATAAACTAACGAACAAAATAAATCAACAAACAAAATAAACCACAGGCATAGAAACATGGAGCAGACTGAAAGTGACCGGAGGGTGTGGGGAAGTAGGACAACAGTGGAAAGAAGGAGAAGGGACTAAACAAAGATCATGTACGAATGACCCATGGACATGGACAAGAGAGTTTGAATTGACTGTGGGAAAGGGGGGTGGGGTGGGATGGGTGGAGAGAGGCGAAGGGGGAAAAACTGAGACAATTGTAATAGAATAAACATGATTTAAAAAATAAAAATGTATTTTTAAAAAGAAACCACAGACACGTCCAGTGTGCTGGCACATGGGATATGGACAGCAGAGTTGAAGTAACATAGCACTGTAGAGAAGATAAAGACCATGATATTGACAAAAGCAGAAAAAGACAGACAAATATGTAGTAATAAATCCAAAAAGAAATGTGAAAGGTGATTATGAAGAAAATATTACCAAGCAGGAAAAATGATCTAAATAAATATGCCTAAGTGGGAAAATTGTAGATGTCAATCCTTGCCAATTAATCCATAAACTAAGTATAATTCCAATGAAACATAAAATAATAAATTCTGCAATAAATTATAATAATATAATTAATCATGCACTTTGAGAAAATTTAGGTACAAAGTCTACCTCAGACTAAATGTATACACACAATGCAAACACACAAACACACTACTTAGTCGGTTAAAGAGGCTAACTCTTAAAAGGACTGTATTTATATTGGAAGGAAATATAGGCAAATGTTTTCTAATAAACTTGTGTGAAAGACTGTCCTAAGTAAAATGAAAATATAGAAGTCCAACAGGACTTTTTCCCTTATACGTAGAAAAAAAAAAAAAAACTCCTGCTTTTCTCTCACACATATAAAGTAATTTTCGTGAGGGAAGAAACCAGGCCCCAGTTTCCAATGGTGCTAAGTAAACCATGTGAGGGTTCCTAAGTTTCCTGTGGGCTAGAATATGTCCTGAGAAAGAACCTGTGGCAAAAACCTGCTCACAAACTTCAATACATTCCTCCCTGCCATAGACTACCCAGGGGACTGAGGTTTCTAAGTTAGAGGTTCCTGGAGAAAGGAGTGTATCTCAGGAAGGACTTCAACACTAGGAGGCCACAGAAGCGATGCTCAGCTAGGTGCCTGAGAATTGCAGAATGTGCCAATCTGCAGCATAAAAATGGTGTGGTAAATGATGCTTGGTTAACTGATTATCCATTTAGGAAAAGAGGTAAAGTTGGATCACTAGCTGCCAAACAGTGGAGGGAAGTGACAGAGTGTGAGGTGGTGCATGCAGCATGTGTAAGAGACAAGGGATTGGCCAATCCTCTGCAAGAATGTGCTGGACTCTGTACTGGCACCCATCTGGACCTTTGACCAATCAGTGGCCCCTAGAAGGGAGCAGGGAGCAAGTCCTCCATACAGATGTCACTCTCAGCCAAATAGTGCTAGGACATCTTTGAGACTGACTTGGTGAGGACTATGACTGTCTGCAGGCAGCACCTCAAAGGGAGGGGATTGTGGTTGAAACTGCTTTCTAGAATGGCATATAGGGCCATGGTGAGAATGCAGAGTTTGAGAATGGATGCATCAGTTCCGAAACTGGATATCTGTAACCTTGTCTGCCCTCTTGGTGGGTGGGGGGGTGCTGTGTGTGTAAAAACCACAGAATCCCCAGGAGAGGTAGGAGGCTGCGGAAGGCACTGGGAGTTAATGTGGTATCTACAGGCACCAAATGTTTATGTAATAATGAGGTACATAAGAAGAAAAGAAAAGGCCATTTCTGGGACTAGAAGGCAGTGGGTCTGTGGTAACAACTCCAGATTTACACAAGAGACAACTTAGGCCGGGGCAGCCCCATTAGGGCAGGGCAGCTCCACAGAGTGTGACAAGATCAAGCTCTGATAACCATGTCAAATGTTTACCATTGGCAAAGCCAGAAAGAATCTCTGTTAATTGCAGAAGGCAGGTAGGTAAGTTTCGTGCTTGGAGGTCCCTTGCTGTTTCATTTTGAATTCAGTATGAGAGGGGGCACCATGGCCTTTCCAGCGCTGAGAGGCTCTGAATATCTTAATTCGACCCTGACTGGCATGCACACTTCCAACTGCCCTCCACATTCCCTGGCAGAATTCACTGGGAACTGGGCTCCTGCCCTGACAAAGCAGCCCCCAAAGGATAAAAGGCAGACTAAGGGCCTGAGCTTCCACACACAGGGAGTGTCTTTGGAAAGTCATTTCCAGAAAATGGAGTAGAGGCTCTTGACCTGGGCCAAGACCACACCATGCAGACACTTCAATGCCAGCAGGCCTCCATGTGACAGAGATGGGCAGAAAGTCTCCGAGGCCCTTCCTGCACTGGGAGTCAGTTGTGGCCTGCAAGAACCAAGTTCCTACCTCAGAGATGGGGGGAATCTGCTTCATGCAGGACAAAAATGGGAATTCAGTAGAGCGCAGAAGAATAGAGTGACATGTATTAATTGGAGACTCTGAGCCAGGAGGAAGGGGAAAACCCTCTGTCTTTGTGCTGAGATTAAAGAGACTGAGTCATAAGGTGTCATGGAAGACAGCAAGGGCCAAGCTAACTGCACTGGAACAAGTGGAGGCAGGAGCTGTCTGCAGGGCAATCTTTTGTGGAAAACAGATTGCCCAGCCCACCTGTGGCTTGCTTGGGAGTAAAAGATGGTTTCATTAGCAGCTCTTAGGAAACAAATCAGGGACCCAGAGCTAGCAAAACAAAAACAAAAACAAAAAGCCCTGAGGGATGATCCTCTTTGGGGGTGTGGTGTCACTGCAACCTCAGTCATGTGCCAGCTGTCCAAGATGCCAGGACCTGGGAAGAGGTAGTATCCCCATTCCTGGTTGGAGGATCACTGAGATGGCCTGGGGACCTGGCAGGCACCCATGCCCACTAGAAAGTCTGAAGCATAAGGCATGGGTACAAGCAGGAGAGCTGTAACCTATCTGCAACCCCTACTCTGGGAGAAGGGAGAAAAACTATGCTCTCTATGGAGGAGAATAGTGAGGAGGCAGAGCACTTAGAGAGCACTGATGCCTGGGGTAGTGGCCCAGAGCAGCATCCCAGGAGACCAAGTGAAGGCACCAGGCACAGAAGCAGTACTGTTAAAAGGAAGCTTCTTGTCCACTGAGCTGTCCAGAGCTTTGAGGGAAAGGACCATAGCTTGACACACACAAAACATGCAGGGAACCTGGTTTTGGTGACACAGGGTCTAAGGTTTGCTGATGCTAGTGTGGAAATGAATTGCCTATTTCCATGGAGTGGTTCAGTGGATAGGGCTGGGCTCTTCCTTTCTTCCAAGGAATGTCGGGAGCTTGAATGAGGGGGAGGAAGTGTCTCCTGATAAATGGACCAGACACAGCCATTCCAAGCACCCTCAGCAGCTGCCCTACAACGCCCACAGGAAGTTTGTGGAGAACTCCACTTTCCTCTTCCTGGATATCACTGAAGGTACCAGGATCGGTGCTAAAAGGTAGTTACACCAAGGGAAGCAGGGTCCTACCAACTCTTCTCACTCGGCCAAAAATTTGGCCTTGGGATCCCAAGGAAGGGAGGGGGCCTGGAAGTAGGTTTAATGGCTGCTTCCCAAAAGAGAGAGAATGACACAAAGTAAGCATACAGCAAGTAGAAACCATTATTGCTATAATCATCCATTAAATGTGCAGGTATGGGTTTCCCAGTGGTCCCCAAGGATATGTAGATGAGCCCAACGATACTGGCATTTCTCTCTAGGCCAGCAGTCAAGGAAAAGACAGCCTCATTGAGGGATTTCTTATGCCAGGTGCCAGGCACTGTACAGCTTGCTTCACAGGTGTTGTCTCTTTCAGTCCTCCCAAAATTTTATCCTAATACCACCAACACCCCTCCACACTCCCGCCTGCCCCCAGCCCCAAACCCTTTGTTGAGGTTTGTCTTGAACACTGCAGCCCATCTCTACCCCTGCCCTCTGTGAGCACTGATAAGCATGCATTTGTGAGAGCAAACTGCACTCTCCCTCCCTTCCCCCACCCCACCCATTTAGCATTTATCCTGTAGTTCTTTCTTTCTCTTCATGCAGACTGTCAACTCAAGAACAAGTACCATGTCTCCTTTTTTGCCAGTCAAAGCACACAAGTTTATTGATAAAACATAAATGTAGACTTGGGAAGATGAGGTTAAGTTAGTACAGCACATAGAAAGAGTGTGTTGTTTTCTGGTGAATAGGGTCACCATCCATTAGCTGGCATAGAAGAAAGAGTCAATGAAAAAGAATTCAACCTTTGCATCTTCAGCACAAAACAGTCCAGTTTAGACAGGGAGACCACCACATGCAAGCATCCTTCATGATGCTTTATCCACAGCTGTCAACCAAAAGGAGCCCTTTACCGCAGGAAGAAGTGAGGAAGTAATTTCCAATGTACATTGTCTGCAGACTGCAAAATCAAGAAGTTACCCAAAGCTCTGTGGGAACTCCTGCCTGGCCAATAAAAGTGTGGTCCTTGTTTAGCAAGCCTAACTTTCACACCATGATATGGTAATTGGCTAAGGCTGGATCTTCTATAGCACCCACTGCAGAGTCTTTGAATGAGAACACAAGAGTGTGTTCATGAAATGTGTTTTGGGTAAATTCAATCCCATTCTGTTCAAGGTGGCCATTTAAGAGAACAGGGTGTCCAGGAGAACCTGTCTCTTTCCATTCCTGATAAAGCGGGGCATGAATGAGAGTAGCATTTGGGGACCCAGCAATTTTTCTGCCAAGACTGGCCTTTCACACAAACCCATCAAAGGTTTCAAAACCTGAACCTCAGTGCATCCACTTACCTCTGATACCAAGGGAAACCTCAGGTCTGAAATGGATTTGGCAAGCACATTATTAATAATTGTCATGCTTATTAACAAATTTAATCCAGCCTGCTGCAGAAATGAGTTGCAGCAATGTGGTGCAGTTTCCTGACACAATTCATTGATGAACATCTTAATCTGACACTGATTTTCCACACTGACATCTACATTATCCAGGACACATAAAGCCTCTTTAACAGTGGAGTTGGGAGTGGGAATTGTGTTTCCAACAATGGAGATGCTGACCAAATGACTATTGATATTGTAGCTAAATGAAAAACCAGCATCCTTGGGCTGAGCAAAAAACATCTTTCCCTGAATGAAAAGACACTTGGAGAGATCAAGAGCACAACTGAAAATTTTAAAGCTTTTAGCACTCCAAGTATTTTTATGTTCATATGGGGATGGACGCTGTCTTATTGGGTGTGTTCGGTTTGCCTTGCCCCCACCTGAAGGTCTGTCCTCGGTTCCACCAGGGGCCCCAGGTGCAGTCCAATCCCCATCCACATTCCAGGGCCTAGCCATAGTTGTGAAATCAAACCACATCTCGGGCTCCTCCTTATCCAGCTCTTGGTCATTTTCCCATTCTTCTTCCTCCTCCTCCCACTTGTCACTGTCATCTCTTCCTATGGTTAGCTTGTAAACACAGTAGCAGGCACCAGCTCCGATCATCAGTCCTGCTGCCATCCAACCCACTTCCCGAGCCCGGCCCATGTTCAAGTCTGTGCCAGTCTTGTGACAGGACAAGGGAGGGCCTTTTTCCACCTGACTGAAGAAGAATCTTAGGGCCAGCGTCTATAATTGTGGGAAGTAGTGGTCTTCAGACTCTGTCAGGCTCCTGTAGTTCTCTTGTGGTGAATCTATGGGTAAGAAAATAGTATTAGGGCTTTGGGATGTGCTGGAGTTTGTGCCTCCCCAAACAGAGTGGAGTTTGAGCTCTGGTTGAAAGAGGTGGGTTATTAGGAAACTATTTCTTTCTTTCTGTGTGTGTGTGTGTGTGAGAGAGAGAGAGAGACAGACAGGCAGACAGACAGACAGAGACAGAGAGAGACTGATTCTCTCTCTGTCCTCAGGATCCACCATTTATCTTACAGGTTCCACAGAAAAGGGTAGGAGTTGGGGTTGTGCTATGATAACCAGGAGGATGGCATGGAGAGGCTAACCCTCTGGTAGTCTCCTCCTACATCACACCCTTATCCCCAAATATTTACAGGCAGTTTTTCCCACCAACCTCTACCAAAGTCAGGTAAATTCCTTCTCCTTTCCTTGTCTTCTGTTGTTGGTGCTCTTTCCACAGTGATTGATGGACAGTCTGGCAGGACAGAAGACAGCCAGCAGTGGAAAACTGAAAGTGTAGTGTATGGATCAGCACTGAGAACACAGGTCCCAATACTCTCTTTTTCACAATTTTCAGCTTTTGAGTTGCAAATATTTCTCACATTTCTGGGCTTTTCTTATCTGGGCTTCCCCCTACTCCCCCCCAACCCCTGTCTCCCTCCCCGACCCAGCCATCCGCCATTTCGCCAGCAAAGTCTGCCACACCCCTTTCCCTGCACCGAATAGGAAGGAAGTGTGGAGAAAGAAAAGGCCAGGAGAGGGCGACTGGGACTGGCCGGCACGAATCCCAACCCTCTCTCCAGCGCCACCCCCACCCAGAATCCAGGGCTCGTCCCACCTTCACACAGACTTGCAGGGTCCCAATACAGTTTGCTCCTTCCCTCGCCCCGACTTTTTCAGCGACCTATGGGCCAACAGACTAACAAACCTTCAGGGAGACAGGGGACTGAGGAGTCAGGGTGCTTGGTGGACTTAGCAGCACTCGGGAAAGAGTGCCCTAATTGTGGACCTTTTCTTTCCTCGCAGTCTCAGTAACCGCCATTCACTCACTTCACACCACACCGCCCGAAGTCCGACAGTTCTCCACTAAAATGGGCACGGGGATTGGGGGAGTGGCGCGGTGGAGCTGGTATTTATAAAGAGGGTGAGAAAAGGATACAGCCCCAATCGGCCCGAACCTGGATCAGTGGCGGTCTTGGCCCTCTCCCACCCTCACCTCTCCAAACAAAGCTCACACTTCCACCGACCTGCGCAGTCCGAGGTTAACTTCCTCCTTCCTTCACAAGCCTGCAGAGTAATAGGGGGCTGGTACACAGACAGAGGCGACTAGCAGGAGTTCAGCTCTAGGCAGCTCTCGGTCACGTGACGATCACGTCACCAGTGAGCTCTGGCCCCCAATTTCCACTCCCTTAAGCAGTGCGGCAGGCAGCCCCTGCCCCGTACCTCCCCCCATCACACTGATTCCTGTCACTTTTTTCCCTCTATAACAATAGCAGAAACCACAAGTGGTCATGGCTTTCTTGTGTTTGAATTTGTCTTTCTCTAATTACAAGAAGGACCAACATCTTTTCTTGGGTCTACCGTTTACTTAACACTTCTGAGAAATGTCTTATCCTTTCCTCGGCTCTGAAACTCCTACGCCCCTCTCTTAATTTTCACCCCTTCCCACATGCAGTCACTGCACCAAAACTGTGGGGTGGGTGGAAAGAAAAGGAAGCTCAGGTTGTAGTGAGGTCTTTATTAATATTTTCTATAGAGTTATGTTCTATTTTTCCTTCGTTTTTTATAGACTCAAGCTATATTATCGTAATCAGAAAATACAATAAAGCTATAACACTTGGGAAAAACGAACTTAATATCTATATGTACATCTATACTTATAAAGATTTACCAGTGAATAAAGAGGTCTCATTGATTTGATTAATTTGTACTACATTAAAAATATTTTCTTCTGACTGCACAAGAAATAGCAGCTTTCAAAGAGCATATTAAAATTTAAAAACACGTCCTTAAAAACAAAACCAGTGTGCTTTTGATACGATTTAAAATCTGATGGATAACATGGATCTATAATGAAGTTGTCAGTGTTTTAATTATGACCATTTTAAATAAGTGAACCTCTATCCTTTTCTTTTTTCTGGTTGAACCATAGTATTAAGTGTCAGACTACTGAGATCTTCATAGAAGACTGCTGGATGGCTTTCCTTTTGTCTTCAAAAGACAGACTTTATGCAGACCCCAAATTCAAATGAATCACATATTTTCAGAAGCACCTTAAAAAATTAGTAACTACAGAGATCATCCTGCTCTTTGTTCAAAGGTCTTTATTTAAAATCTATTCTTAAGTTGTATGGTGTAACCCATAAATCATCCAGAAATTAGAGAATTCCGTTATCCCTTTGATAAAGTGAGACTCAATAGATGCACTATTCATTTAATCATGACCCTGGTCCGATATCTCTGGTATCTGCCATTCATGTGCTATGTCACCCTAGCAGTGGTTACTATTGTGCATCTTTCAGTGGAGATAGTAGTGAGGGTCCATGGGTGTCTGTAAATCTGGCAACACCCCTGAGATCCATGTCATTTTCTCTCACAAAAAGCACAGTTCACAGGATCCCAAGAAGTCACCAGAAGAGGCCTTTTCATTTCCTGCCTTCTGTTAAAATTTTACTGAACCATCCCTATAAGCCCCTTAGAATAATCCCAGAACTCAGGGACAAAGTATGCAGAAGTTAGTCCCCAGACATCCAGCTGTCCCTGCTAGGAAGTCATACTCTAAATATAGGCCCTTCAGGCAGCCTCATTCTTACAACAGTGAAATATGACACCCCAGCAGGACGCTCCCAGTGAGAGGCCCTGTGAGGGGAGGCTCTTTCAGGAGGTGAGCCAGGGAGCCTAGAGTACCTTGCTTGTGAATGAATATTCAGAAGTCAGGAACATGTCACAGCTTTCTGGTCTTCCTCAAGCTTTTATAGTCCAAACTTACTCACCAATCATACTCCCTCTCTGTAAACCCCTACCTCATTTGTTTTGCCATCATCGCCTTATAATGTTATTTTTCTCGCCCTTCATTTATCATAGAGAAGTGAATTCTATTTATTCAGTCCTACAAACAGAACTTGAAGGTTCAACTGTCCATTATTCAATTTTTGCCTGATAAGTACTTATATAAGTGTCTTTTTATTTGTTTTGAACATATACATGAGAAAGAACGAAGGAGTATGTAAAGCTTAACAAAGCTTCAAAAAAATTCCACTCTCACCTTTTCTTACTAGTATAAAATAACTCCATCTTTTGGTATATTTTCCAATTGTTCCCGTGTGTAACCCCTGACCACCATTTTCCCAGTCTGTCAGAACTTTCCTGTTTGAATCCACTCCCTCTCTAAAAATTCCTAAACCCCATGGAAATAACCCTTTAAATTCCCTTACTTCTTTGTCATTTTCATTTACAAATTCCTACCAAGAAGCCTTGAGACTACTGTTTAAAATCTACTTGGCTCTCCGTTATACATTCACTAGCAAAAATTTAAGAGCATGTTATTTGCCTGACCACTTCAAAAGTGAAAAAGTAAAATCCTTAAGCAATTCCTCAGATATGCCTGTTGAAAGTTCCTGAGACTGCAAAAGACTATGGGAAGCTACTGTCAAAAGGCTTAAATCAGTATGTGGTCATATGTGACCTGTAACTTATGAAGTGTCTGAAAATAAACAAACAAACAAAATATAGGCAGATGGTAACAGTAAAGGAATTATAGAGGGTGAGAAAAATAAATTATAGAAGATTGTTGTCTTAAAAAGCTATATTACTTATTGTATTTGGTTATTTATATTTGTACTGTATATTAGTTGATTTTGTTTGGTTGCAAGCAATAAAAACCAAACCTGGTGAACTTAAACAATGAAAGGATGTTGAAGACCAGGATCAGCTCTGTGGGGTCTGGATAGGAAGAATTGATAGTCCCTTTAGGATGTCACGATTCCACTGATTTTCAATTTTTATCAAGATTTATAGTTTTAGTAAGAGAGTATTTAAGATTTAAGACTTAGTTAAGAGAGTATTGAGTTGGTCTATATTGGGTACAATGTCCACTTTTTTGCTGTGGAAAATGCAGGGTGTAGAAAATGCAGGGTATATAAAATGTAAAGTACACTTCATTTCTTTTCCAAGAGAGTAGTTTAAACTGTTTCAGATGTTGATTTGCAGGAGCCTTTTAATAACTTTGGATATTAACCCCATTGTCCAACTGTGGCTGAGGTGCTAGGGGTCTATTGACCACAGCATGTCTTCATTTTCACATTAACTGAACATTGAAGAGGTACAATTCTAAAATGTTGATGATGCACAAGCTTCTAAGCCAAAGCTACCTGGCTTCCCTGACAGTATTCCACAGAGCTGCATCTACAGCTGATTCTACAGTTTGTCCTCATTGTTTCATGATCAACCCCTGATTTTGTTTGTATGCTGAGAATAGGTGCATCTGCCAAGGAAAGATCCCCATTCATAGACACTTATATATGTCTAGATCTGAATGCCCAAACCATGGATCTCTGCCTTCTCTCCCTGTAATTAGGTCATAAGAGAAGCCCTTTCAACAGAACTTACACCTGAATAATTTACCCTGTGAAATACATCTGTCAGGGGTACTGGAGGTTTCTGTCAGTTTTACCAGCCCTTTCTTTTCCTGTAGGCAAGCTACAACTTGGGAAACCATACCTCAGGAAAGTTTTTTGGTGAGCCTGCAATCAGAACAAGAACATTGGTTCACCTTAAGAAGTGACTTTCAGCTAAGGAAGCTTGGAGTACTCTTTCCAAGAAAAGCTAAATGTTCCAGTCATCTTAACAAAGATTCCAGACAGTGGAAACTGCCAACATTTTGTTCTCTTTTTCATATATTCTATACTAAATAAGCCCCTTCACTGCACATGATCTTTCCCTAAACACAGAATCATATAGTTGATTTGGTTTCTGTTTACTAAATTTCAGTCATTTTCTAGTACTCCCTCCCAGAAGTTGTTTATATGAATTTCCCTGGAGTTTTGCCTGTTCCAAAACTTCTCAGTCTCTTGATTTACTTCCACATTGTCTAAGGATTTAAAAAAGTTATACTGAGGTAATAACCTTATATCTGAACTATTAAGGAATATCCCACTGCAGGCCCCATGTTCTGACATTACTTTATCAGTTTCCCCACAATAAAAATGATCATTGCTGACAGGTGAATCATTGAGTTCATCAAACCAGTTGGTGAAATGTTTTCCCAGTAATTGCTATATGCTAGTTCAGCCAATTTTCTCTTGGTCTCAGTGTTCCTCTAACATCTTTTTCATTTAAATATGATATTCTTTATTTGTACCCAAATATATTTTGTAATGTTCTTTGTATCCATTCACTTTGTCAGTTGTGCATGCCTGTTTATCTGACAGATAACCACTATGCAGTTGTGGTTTCTAGTCAACCTTCTTTTTGTTACTGGCTTCTGAGAGTCCCGTGCCTCTTCCTTGCTAATCGATGCAAGTGGAAATCTATTGCTCTCCTGTTTGGAAGACTGGGCTAGTCAGAAGAGTTATGTATTCTCAGACATGCTGATTAGCACATTCAGGGTTGTGTTATCTGTTAAGGCCCCAGAAGACATTAAGATTGTTTTGAGTGAGATATATATATAACACTCCCCACAAGTGAGAAAATATGGGATTTTTGGAAGCCATACATGTAACATCACTCTCCAACTCCCACTCTTTTTTTTTTAATCAAATGAGAGCTTTATATTAACCTTTCTCATGAAAAGAATGAAGGCCGGGGTTTGGAGAGGGCAGAAGAAAAAAATATTAAGAAAGTAAAACACGTACTCTTACTCCAGGTCTCCTTTTCTGATTTTTTTACGTTTTAGATCTGGGACTATATTTCAGAGGAAATGGTAGGCATTAATATCTCAGAGGTAGGCATTAATAGCTCAGAGGAGAGGTGGAAGGAGAGGTTGTTGTCGCAGGAGCCTAGAGAAGGAAGCAGCAAATTTTTCAAAAAGCGGCCAGTAGCCCCAAGGGAAGATGCTGTCCGTTTTTGGTAATCTGAGGAAGGCAAACTCAAGTACAGGGAGATGGGATTAACAAACAAGAAAGAGTAACAAGGCCTGGTATGGGAGAGGAAATGAAGGGGGGCGGGTCCTCTTCTGCCGCACTGCTGGTGGGAGGGGAATTTGGGGACCAGACTTGGTGGATGACGTAGCTCTCACGTGACCAAAAGCTGACGTGTGCAGAAGTCCTTCTTTTTCTGGTCGTTGTTCCGTCTGAGTACCAGCTCCCCATTGCCCTGAGGACGAGCGGGCCTGTGATAGGGGGAAGAACGAAAGGGAG